AAACAACAACCCAACCAAAATTATGAGGAAATGTGACTGTGAACTGTTAATGTCCACAAATAAAACACTTTGAAATTAACAGATGTTTAGCTCCTGGTTACGTCTGTGAATAAATTGTATAAATTGCTGCAGAACCTAACGTGCAAAGGGAGACAAATATCAACTCCAGACTGGGAAACTGAAGCCCTTTGTCATTCCAACCTATCCATAACACAGCTTCAGATTCAGATGTCTCATTAAGCATTCCAAACCCTTTAAAAACCTGACAGTAAATAATATATTTCCACCTATTTTTTCTCCTTCTAAAAAGTCTTCCAGTTGCGTGATGCATAATTATTCTGTTACTCCACAGAAATTAATTTGAACAAGTGTCCAATCCCTAATTATTTTGTGGAAATTGTACACTGACCATTCTCATCAGACCTGTCTATTCATGCTGAAATTGTTTTTTTTCTCAGAGATTCTTCTGAATCTGATTGTGCAGATGCAAACCCAGAGGAATATATATATATAATATATAAGAGAGAGAGAGAGAGAGAGAGAGAGAGAGAGAGACAGATATATACAGTCGAACCTGTGTAAGACGGAATCGCAAGGGAGCCAGAAAAAAATTCAATTTAGTGGGAGCTGGAGGTTGGGGGGGGGGCAATTCAAAGGCCCAGCCGGTGGGATCAAGGATCGCTAGTCCGATCTGCAAGCAGTGGTCAAAACTTCACACCTCTCAGTTGCTATCCTGTCTGATAATGACATGCGTGAGTCTTACTTATCCAATTACCACCAGTGTTTGCCTTTCATAGGATCGCTGTTTGACCTATTAAAAATAGAAACGTTTGAACATCTCCTTTGCTTCCACTTTTAGCCCCACCCACCAATGCCACCCCTCACTGCCATCATTGTAACAACGATTCGAGGAACTCTTTTCTCGGCTGGCATTGGTCAATCTAATTTCACACCTCTGGCTTCAGGCTACCCAGGAACGTTTCCCTAGAGGCTCGCTACTCCAGCACTCTCACGGACAGTCGTGAAATTTCACACCCACAGTACACTGACCATCTGCATCGCTCAGGGCTCACATGATGGGGTAACATCTACCCTCAAATTGCACCCCTACTCCTTTTCCTCGCCCAGGGGCATGGCCATAGCGTTAAGTTTAGAGCTGGCGCAACCAAACTTGCGAGTTTTGTTTCAAATCAGGGCAGTGCGGGCAAAGCATTTTCCGTCTTAGACAGGTGAAACCCTCGGAAGGAAGCGGATTTTTCATTCCGTTTCCGTGTTGGACAGGTTTCCGTTTTAGTTTTATACAGGTAACTAAAGAGGAATATATCAAGGGGGGAACGGGGAGATTCCGTTAAGACAGGTTTCCGTTTTACACAGGTTTCCGTAAAGGCAGGTTCGACTGTATATATATATATATATATATATACACACACCACACCCAGGTCTCAGAAAGCATGCCGTTATGGTAAACAAAGTTGGGTGAGAAGGCTGCTTCAGTTAGCTCAAGTAAAGGTTGGCGATCAAGAGGTAGACCACACATTTTTGGGCAACAGCATTCATAATGACCATTCCAAAGCAAAACTTTGAAGTCCTAAAAGCAAAAAACAACAACCCCCCATCCCCTCCTCCCCATAAATAGCACCGTGTACAGGCATAATAATTTTGTTGTGCTTACCATAAGAATCCTGGCAAAGTCTATTAAGTTAAACAACAAAAGGATTTTAAAAATGTTACAAAGCAATGACAAGGAGTAATAATGGAATGACATAACTACACATCCAGCATCTTTTCTGAGAATACTAAATTAAAAGCACAAATATAGTGTCCCCACAAACACTCTTTAACATAATAAAAAACGGGATGTTGAAGTGCTCCCTATTTTTCTGCCCAATTATCAGAGTCAAAATAGTTTGTACTATCACACCCTTTTAAAAGTTTATACACGTTTTTGTTTCACCAACTGCCACTTGTATGATTTAACACCCGTTCCAACGCTGTAAGGACCTCTGGATTTAAGGTCCAAAAAGGGGGAGACCTTTGAAAATTTCCCAAACAACCCAAGTTCAAGAACACTCCATTGGGGATTTGAACCTGCACCTTATTGTCCTTAACCATGCATGTTAATAAACGAGGTACCAGCATGCTCTGGACAAATCTGTTTGCTGACCACAAAAACGTAGTTGACAGAAAATTTGGACAACAAAAACCCCATAAAAAATTCATTGTCCATTATAAAAAATTATACCTTAAAACATGACTGACTGTATTTCATTTACTACCCGTTACTAAAAGTTAAACCTACTAGCCCTTATTTTCCTACTCTTTCAAAGGCAAAGCATTACAGTGTAGAGGATAATCATGTATATTGATTGGAAAAAAAAAATCTTAACAAAGGGCCAAAAAATGTCTTAAAACTTAAGAAACAGAAAAGGAAATAAAACTACACAAGAACTTTCCATCCATTTCATTTCCACAGAACAGCATACAAGTCTGTCACTGTACTTCTGCTCCCTCAGGGTGAAATGTAAATGTCATTTATCAAACATACTATTATTGACACCGGGATATTCAGTCTTGCTAAGACTAAGAGAGCGGAGAGTTAAAGAGTCAGTGAAAAAAAATATCTGTGCAAGGGGACAAAACTTAAAGAGTGTGCATTCACTTTCGCAAAAGAAAATGTGACACCTCCACCATGATATATTTCTATCGTTGCCCTTCTAAAATGACATCACATTCACAGTATAGAGGAAGATGAATGGGAAGATCAATTGAGAGGTCAGTACTATTTCTGTTAACTCATTGAAGTCAATTAAAACTCTTAAGCTTGTCATGATGTTATCCTTCATCCCATCTTCAAATTGGGCTTATTCATTAAAACATCCATGAAAGAAAGTCGAAGTGCATTTTGGTGGCAAATTGTAACAGATGCAACACAAGAGCTCAAGCCACTGTGACTTTATGGGGTATTTGAGTCTGTGTTTATAAAAGAAACTACCAACAACTATTTCTATCTAATCCATAAATCATTCAACACCCTACTTCAAAGGAAGCTGCCATACGTTGGACTTGGTTCCCTTCGCCTATATCTTATTTGACTTTGGTACAAAATGTTATGTTTATGATGTAAAAGCATCTGAAAATAAAAAAAATAAAACAAAACCAAAAAACTGTACACCTGTGTAACAATGAACAATGAAGTATCTAAAGCAAATAATTTGTGACCTCTCTTTACAAAAATAAATATTGCATTTGCATATTTATTCAATGGAACTCATCTATTTTAAAATGACAACAGGAATATCTAGCACTTTACTTGGGATTAACGTGTCAGTTCTTGATTCACCCTTTTTTTGTTCTCTCCCTATTTACTCCCAATCCAGTTGTGGGGAATAAGACTACCTAGGGGCTACTTAAAATTTCAGTAACAGCAAAAGAATCATAACTCATCTGCGATTGAAGAATAGATAACGATAATGTAGTAGCCCAACCATTAACAATCCACACTACACCGGTCATGTCTCTGTGATCTGATGCAAGTAACTTACTAATGTGTTACAACCGTGTGTGTGCAACCCAAGTCATGTAGGTAGAGAGGGAGGGTGGAGTGGGGTGAGCCTTCTAGTACTAAGTGCAGCCTCATATTTCACAGGTCTTAGTTGCAGCTAGGTCGTCTAGTTTTCAACTGTTGACCAGAAATATGCTTAACAATGAATAATCTCAAGTCATTGTTCTGATCTAAACTTCAAAATTAAAAGGGTAGTTTCATGAAATGGAAAGTAAATTACACTTGAGACCAACTTAAAGCAGTTGAGAGATACAAGACAAAATGCTCATACTTCTATCAAGATTTTCATCAGCAATCCAACACTGTATCCTCAGGTAGGTATTATGTCTGTAACTCCTTTGGGTTCCAACAATAGTAAAAAAAAAAATGGTTATAACGAGATATTGTTTTCCCACCAACTCTCAATATTACAGAGTTTGACTGCACTAACATTATGAAAAATAAGGATTCTCTTACAAACTAACATTTTAGCAAAAAACGTACATGACATGTTTACTGGAGATTGTCGCATTCCTTCCACTTGTAAAAAAATCCAGCAACTATGAGAAACTGTACCTGGATATATAACTTAAGTGATAACTAGGTACCAACTAGATATCATTCTTAAGTCACAAACACAATGCTATTAATTTAATACTGAAAATTTAAAAAAACATAATTTAATATACCACTGAGCCTTACTGTGTTAAAAATAGACAGTATAAATTATAAAAAAGAAACCTGGAACCAAAAAACTTAATATGTTCAAATAAGGAACAATGAAATCAAACATAACTGATCTATCACTATCAATCAATCAATAAATAAGACAATAAATAAATAAATACGTACATACATAAAAGTTTGGTTAACTGAAGACTAGATAGGTGCTATACAATCTATCCCCCCCCCCCCGACACACCTTTGTATTCTAAGTACTGTACCACTTGCCTGTGGCACCAGCTGAAAAGAGCAAAGAGAACACACACTCCAAAGGGAAAGCACAGCGTAGAGAAAGTACACACACATCTCATCACGCAGTGAACATGCACATCTCAAGGTAACAGAAAATGCACATATGTGAGGCAGGGTGGTGGAATCAGGCTCTCATCAAAATAATCAAAGTGAAGAAACTTGCATTTTTCTGCAGGTTTGTGAATTTTTATCAAATTTTTTTGTTTTTTTGGCTCAACACTTTTCATGCCCATGAAAGAACTCATTTCTGTGTGGATTTTTCTTAAAAATGTTGATTAAAGGGACCAAAACTGTAAATTTTCAGTTACCACGGACTCTTAAGCTAAGTAAATAACTAATCTTTGGTGGCCATTTTCTCACTAATTTTACCTCTGAAAATTGGTGACCCCCACCTCCTTCATTTGCAAAATATCTCGACTTTCATTCAAGATAAATGGATATTTTTTCCTTCAAATAAAGACAAATGAACAAGCTTTAAGATGACATAAATAACTCTACATGCCCAAAAATTGATGAGAGCCTGATTCCACCATGCTGCCTCACATATAATATCAAAGTGAGCTCACAGACAATACAGCCAAGCTCACAGTGAACACACACATCACAGCGGATGCACATCTCACAGTGAATACATACAACAGTGGACATGCACACCTCACAGGGGACACGAGCACTTCACAGTGAATACACATCTCACAGTGGACACATGCACTTCACAGTGAATACACATCTCACAGGGGACACGTGCACTTCACAGTGAATACAAATCTCATAGTGGACATGTGCACTTCACAGTGAATACACATCTCATAGTGGACATGTGCACTTCACAGTGAATACACATCTCACAGTGGACACGAGCACTTCACAGTGAATACACATCTCATAGTGGACATGTGCACTTCACAGCGAACCCGCATCTCATAGTGAACGCACACAACCCAGCGGGTGTGCACACCTCACAGAGAATTCGCATCTCTCAGTAGACACACACCTCACAGATAACGCACAACTCACAATGAAAGCACATCATCTCACACATCATGGGTTCTGCTTAAAGTCACCAGATCAGACTACAGAACCGGTGTGCATGAAGTTCAACTTGTAGTATACGGCATGCCAGTTCAGCTGGCCCACAACCTCATTCGGTTGTTTGCAGTCATTACAAAAAGGAACCAAACCTCAGCTAATTCATCTTGATCTATATAATCAAACTGAATGTTTACTTTTTGGATCATTCATTTCTCCTTAATTTGATGTTTGCTTTATGACAATAGGTTGAATATGAGCAGAGATATATGAGAGTTTGCAATTCTGAAAATGCTGTAAATTAAGAGAGCTAATTTTAAAGTTGACAGAATACGACTTAAAAAAAAAAAAAAACCTTACCAGCCTACATGTATCGAGAAACACAAAGTCTGAAAAAATTTCACTCACTTACATAGTGTGCATGCCATCTGTAACTATCAGTGACATGTAACTGTATAAATTCTTTTAACATATTTGGGACATTTCCCAACTTTAAACTCCTATCAATACTTAAAATCAGAAAACCAGCAATAAAGAAAGCTATAAGATAAGATAATACTTTATTATCCCTGAGGGAAATTTTATATCCTTGTTGAGTTTCGTTTTCATGAAGATTTTAGTAACCTATTCTGGGCAGTAACACTAACATTGATATTTTTAACCTTCTCAAAGAATAAAATGAATGACATGTTACCAAAAAAGACAACCTTAAAGAATTCACTGTGATGTATTAGACCAAGACCTGCTCTAAACACTGTTGTACAAAATAATTACAAATGCGTACAGGAATGAATAGGATTTTAAAAAACAACAACGAAAGTCATGTCCCCAACCGCATGAGCTTACAACACATCAAGCTCTTTTACATCAATATGACGTGTCTAAACAAACAACACAATGTTCTTCACAACTTGGAAAAACAATCTACTTCCTGAGTGAAAAAAAAACTGGGTTATGTTGCCAATGGTGAACATAATCGTGTCACATTAGTAATCAGTCATCTATGCATATTACTTCAAGTACATCATCATCGTCATCATCTAGGTTCGAGTTGTTCACCACTGGAGGAGCTGGAATAACTTTACTCATTTCTAAATGCAAATCACGGGTACGTTCAACAACAGCTGTGGAGGTGACATGGTTACTCCGCGGCAGTATCCTTGAGTGTTTACCATGCGAAGACTGTGAGCTGGATGTGGGGTTTACACAGGATTTGCCAGAGGCACTGCGAGAACTGTGTCTTTCTGAAGAGTCACTAGAGGTCATGACCACATTGTGGGACTTATGATGATGCGCTTGGCTTGGGGATTCAGTATGAGTGTTATGCTTACGATGAGTACAGGACGAGGAGGACGATTGAGGAAGAGTGTTTGACAATGTGCTCATGGGGTTTGAGCCGGCCCGATGAGATAAGCTCGCTTGATGTGCGGGTAGAGGAGACTTCAAAGTGTTGTGGTTCACGCTCAGCATGCTGAACGGATTGACCTGATGTGCCGGAGGCGGTACACAGTCTGGGCTGTCAGTACTCTGCTTGTGAGGCAGTTCAAAATCCTCCGTCCTAACATCATTCAACTGCTGTTTTCTTCTACTATTCGGACTCTGCGAATTTGAAGATGTCTTTCCTAACATGATTTCCCTGAGAGCTTCAGTGTGATTTACACTGGGTGGAGCAGAACTCAAGTTATTCAAAGATGTGGGCTGAGTTTGCTCAGGATGACTCTTGTCAGGGTGAGGGTTTTCCTTTGCAACGGACTTTGTCAGACTTTGAGAGACAACAGAGCAACTATTTACCTGTGACTGGCTTTGCGATGTGTTACTTTGTGAAGGCATTGGGGATGAAACCCTTTGTGGATTAGCAGAGGTCAAGTGTCGATGAAGTTGTGGGCCCTGCCGAGGGGGAGAGGGAGCATAACCTTGTCGGTTCCTAAAAATATTTGGAACATGGGGTTGAGAGTTTGCCTGTGGCAAGCTGAGTGATCTATGGTTGGACGGACATGGAACGTGGCGATGAGAAGCTGCAGGACGCTGAGTGGCTGTGGAAGGTCGCTGGACCTGGTTAGAAGGAGTTGTCAGATGTCGCTGCAGGTGGGGAAAAGCAGAATTTGAGGCCAAGTTCTCTCTTGTACTGCCTTTTTCCACAAGAGACTCTGGCAGATCGATCTGAGTAATGCAGACGTCGTCGTCATAGTAGATCTTGTCGGAAATTGTTATTGTACGTTCTCTCCAGTTTCTGATCTCTGTTTCACTCATTTTTTTCAGCTTGACCCTACAGTGTGGTATGCAGCGGAGTAATCGTCGAGTCCTTGCACTGAGCCCTGTCTTCAGCAATTTCTTAAATTCACGCACATCTCTCTTATTGAACTTATATTTGTGAACAAACGATGACGCTCTCCTTTTCTTCCTATAGGTGACCCGGAAGTCTGACCCTCTAAATCTAAGCTTACTGTACCCATTATCCATCTCTTCAGTCCGACAGTACTGATCAGGGTCCTTGATAATATTCAGGCAGCTTTCCCCTTTCACATACTTTTTCACCCTCTGACCCAGAGGGGATGAAAAGTCCAAAGTGAGCAGTGAGGTGGCCAGAGGGTCTCTGCCCTCCTCCATAGCCTCCTTATCTGCCCATTCATCCTCCACAAAACAGAAGCTGATTCGCCTGCGAGAGCTCGGCTCGCTGTCTCGGCTCAGCTGAGACATCAGGCTTTTTGAGCGTGGTGAGGAAAGCCCCAAACGCTGAGGAGGTGCTGAGGATGGGGTGCATGTCGTGCTGCTCAGGGGACCTTCCACCAGAATTATTTCACAGTCCAGATCGACTTCTGTCTCCTTTTTGGAAGCTTCGGTTACTTCGAGGACACGTTTTTCTACCAAACCCAAAGCAGAAATAAATGAGCGCTTTGAGAAGTCATCACTAGGATGTGACACTCGTGATGGTTTTGACTTTCTCCTTTTCTTCCTACTCCACCATGCACCCTCCTTAGGCACGTCTTTCATCTCCTTACACTCTTTCATCATCAAACGTTTGGAATTATGCTTTTCCATAATTTGATCTAAACGTTTTTGACTTCGTGTCTTAAGTATTGGAACAAAAGCTGGTTTCTTGTTGTTTGCACTTAAAGCGGAAGAGATCACACGGGAGGATGGGGGTGGGTGAGAGGTGGAGGAACTCTGACTGCTGGCTTTGACGGATGACACATGAGATGAACTCTGGGACTTGACAACAGCTGGTTGAGAGGACGAACTCTGAGACTTGACAACAGATGGTTGCCAGGACACTGCCACAGCAGTGGCGGAACTGTTACTTTTTGGGGGGCTGCATGACACAGCACTCACACTCACAGCTTTGACGGGTGAGCGCTGAGATGCTGAGTTTTGTTTTTTTTCAGGTGTTTTTGTCACAGCCGCGTTCCCTGCACGAGAGGACGTCTGAAACTTCTTCTGGCACAGGCTCTGGTGGCTGTTCACCTCCTCGTGGCTACTGAACTGCTCCAGACAGAAACAGCACACATACACAGGCCCATCACTCTCTGCTAGAACAGAGGAAAACAAAGCAAAAAAATATCTTTGAAATGTAAATTCAGCTATAGTAAAGAAAGAAGAATAAGATACTACAAATTGCAAAATCATAGGAAAAAAACCACCATATTAATTAAAGCAAGGGTTTTGTTTGAGTAAAGGAAAGCATACTGACACAGCAATAGTCATTTAGAGTAGAGAAACAGAATGAAAGGAGGACAGAAACAACAGATGTAAAGGAAAAAAGTAGGACCTACCAGCACAGATACAAATAAGCAAACACTACAAATTTCTAGAACAGAAGATGACAACAATCTTTTCTTTTCATAAAACTATTTCAGAGTAACTGGTCCTTTTAATTTTAAGTTAAGGCCGGAAACAGTCAGACAAGATACTACTCACATAAGCCAAGACATAACTAATGGAATAACCTCAAGTACCAAACAACATGAGGGTTGATAAGTAAGAAATAAAGTCAGAGGAAAACCCTGCACCAAGATCATCTAATCAGTATATGGTCGCTTTTAAGCACAAGGGGGCTATCCCGAAAAATGCTGTTTTGAGAAAAGCGAAGGTAAAGTTTTTGCCCCTTGTTCAGTTTCTTTAAAAGACAAGGCGAGTTTTCTCTATAACCAAATAAATAAACACACCAATAAAACCAAACTTCTCCTATAGGTAGGGCAATAACCACTTTCAGTGTAGGTCCAGATTTCTGGAAACCCCCTGGGTTAGCCTGCATACAGAGACTATTTACATTTCACACTGTACCTTGAGAAGAATCCCCTGGGCTGAAGCTATGGCTATCGTCCCCATCATCAGTCAACTGAATGATGTCCATACTATCAGGCTGTTCAAAGTAGATAAAAGGAAAAATTATTTTGACTACCAAACATGTTTCATTTGAGACTTATACACACATCACATATCACTGTTGCAAGAGAAAGTAGTAACTTTGTTCGACCCTACTTCGCAGGGTGAGTAAAAATCATAGAGGTAATCATTTTTCTTGAGACAGCAATAATGTGAGACGGAACTGTGCCATGTACAACCAATTATAATTTGTTTTGTTATAATTAAGAACAAACCAGTTTTTTCTTCAAGAATAAAGGAGTCTGTTTGATTGAACATATTGTAAATGAACTGGTTTCCCAAATCACTATTCTGTCATGTGATACAATAACAGTCAATCTCATTAGTTTGATCTAGATTTTAAAAGTAAAGAAGATTATTTTAAATGGGATGTGCAGCAGTTTCTATGCTTACTGTTCTACAGTGTGGCACAAATTAAGTCAGTCTTCACAAACTTGATAATGAGCATTACCATAAAGCAGGACAGTCACTGCAAAATATCAGGTTCTAAATCACGTAGGACAGCTACAAAATCTATCACCCTTCATGAACAAATACTTGACAATTAACAAAAGTGACACGACTCAAGATCTGTATTTTTTCAGCATTTGCAGAAGTTATCTTTTCTGTCCTTATTTTAAAGCAATATGAGAGGATGGACTAATAGTTCTGCAGGAATCGTGCTGGGTTTTCATGAACATAGGCTATTAAGGGAGTTTTCAAGGTTCTCTGCCTTCTTGGCTCAGTCATATAGGAGATGGACTTAAAATTCTGAGATTCTGCCTCAGCTATAACCATTTAAGTTGAAAAGGGGATTAAGCCCTCCCATTTACCCTTTTCCCCACTTTCTTAAAAAGCAAAATTAATCATATTATGTTTAGACAACATTTCCAATGGGAAACTGGTAAATGGAACTCACACTCAAGTCTTGATAGTCTGATCTGTCGATCATGCAGAGGAGCTCCTCAACACCATGGTAAGAGTAACAGCTATGCACCAACTTTCTCAAGATCTGCAGTCCGTTCTGTGAAAACAATTGAGGAAAAGAGAGAAACTTTATCATTATGGAAAAGATTCGTATCTCACTTGTTTGGACAATAAAAAGCACATTGCATGGGAAGTTGGCCATTTCAACACTTCATTTGAAGCAGATAGGGTATGGAGTCATTCATCTAAGTATGCCATTGAAGTTGGCCATGTGTCCCTCTTATCTGACCAAAAGCTCTACAAAAGGCAAATACTATTTCAATGAAAGGCTGACATCAATTTATATCATTGCACGATTTTCATTAGCTTAGTTGTGATCCTGCTTGAGTACTGGGCCAATGACCTTGGTTTGAATCCTTAGCAGAACAATCTTGAACTTAGATAGTGTGCCAAGTTTTCAAGGTTGTCCAACTGCTTTGATCCTTTTTTTCATCAGCAGTCAACATGAAATTTGGTCGTCAGCCTCTTAGATATCCTGGGACGTCAAATCCACACCGCATCATAATAAATGAATAGAATTACATGTAGGTCTTACAATACAATATTTAGCACTACATAATTGTCTTATACATAACTTGGGAAAGGTACAAATATAGAATTAAATATGCAGAAAAAAAAGAACACTTCATACTCTGATTATATTATTATTTCCAACATTTCCATATACAGTGGAAACCATATATATCAGGCCCGGAAATAACAGGGATCCGGTAATAACAGGGATTTTTTAAATCCCCGTTTTTTCCTACTCTTTGTCTCTATTAAAAGTTATCGGCAATAATAGGGCCTCATCGGAGCCCAACCGGCTATAGCAGGGACAGAGGCACGTTAATAATGAGTAAAAAGTAAGTGAAAGAGAGAGAGAGAGAGAGAGAGAGACAGACAGACAGACAGACAGACAGACAGAGAGAGAGAGAGACAGAGACAGAGAGTAACGCAGTGATGGAGGTCGTGCGCAGAGCTTGTTTCGCAGTTCAAAGCGCACACGCAAGCACACACTACACTGTGACTGTCCATTAACAACAGTACATGTGTAGATTTTAGCTTAACGCACTCTGTGGACGACCGGTCGGCCAAGATCTAAGCCTACTTCTTTCTTTATGGCCACCAACGATGTCAAGCGCAAGAGAAAATAGCATACTCCTATGGAAAGTTTGCTCTGGATCGAAAGAAGATGAGAATACCCAATGCAGATGCTGTGGACCAAGCTCTTCTGATGTGGTTTAAAGAGGCAAGGAAGGAGAAAGTTGGTGCCAAAACCTCTGTTTGTGGGTACTTGTGGCAAGGGAAACTACCCATTAATAAGTACAGCTGGATTAGTCCACAAATGCTTGCTTTCCTTGCATTTCTGATTTAACAGGGATCGGATATAACAGGACTTTTTCTCTACTCCCACCATCCCTGTTATATCAGGTGTCCACTGTAATTCATTTCACCTCAGTACAAAAACCTGACATCCACCAGCAGGAAGAAAAAGACTTTTAATAGCTTTCATTATGTCCTAATTTCCAAAACTCTTTGACTTTAACTTTAAGTTCAAGCCTTTAAACTCAAAAGAGTACTAGAAAACTGGCTCTTGATATGGGTCTACGCTAGTAAATACCCGTGTAAGCTACGAACGCTCCCCTCCACCCTAAATTCTCACGAAGTGAATGTACCAAACTTTGATTTCCTCTACATTCTGATGGTAGAAAAAGACACACAACTTCACAACTAATCACCTGAGTGCCCCCTTGTACATAAGCCTTTGGGTTCGTCCAGCGAATATCATCCGGCCACCAAGCAGGCTTATCACTTTCGTCATCATAGCAAGGAATAGCTCTACGTGTTGTCATGGAAACAAGGACAGGAATCAGGGTCACTAGCTTAGGCTGAAATAAACAAACATTTAAAAAAAAATTGTCAATGAAGGAAATGTAAAAAATTGTTACACATTCATGCTATACACACAAAATGCTCCCACACAATAAAATAGCAAATATCACTAAGTTCCCCATGAGCTTCTTCTCTAATTCAATTTTTGCACCTGATTCTAGAGTCTCCAAATAAAACATACAATTATCAGAAGTCAGTTCCTAAACATTCTGACATTTACAAAGTACTAGTCACTTTCAATATATCATTCAAATTTCAAATAGAGCGGTAGCATCAGTAAAATAATAAAATGAAAAAAAAAAAGAAAAAAAAAAAAAGATAATCGGACAACATCAGTTCCCATGATGGTATGTTAAAGTGGCCCATCCTAAACACATATGCAGCGACGACCCTCCCAAACACATCGTTTCTATAACAAGGTTAACGGTTGACCCAGTTTGACTCTGGTTTACAGGGTGTGGCAAAAAAATGTTTATTAGACATTCATTTTTTTTTTCAAAAGTGATGATACGTAAAGTGGAACTTACAGCAGTCGTATTCTTCAGTGTCAAGGGAGGCAAGTCCTTTGCCATGTCCATGACAGACGGCAGAATCTGTGCAACAGACTACCACGCTATGCTGGACCTTCGTTTCTACATAACTCATGGATTCTGAGATGGCAGCATCAAATTAAAGGATAAAAAAGACCTGTCCGATAAGAAGAGAAAAGGGTAAAAATCATAAACACAATTGCAATAAAAGCAGAGAACGCTAAAAGCATGAAGATGTCCATGTTCTAAAAAAAAAGTTCCCAATATTCTAACTGGCTTTTTCTCTGTTACATGGATGTAATATGCTAATAGACAATTTTGCTTTAAAACTTGAAACAGGGTAATGGGGAAGGAATATCACAGCATCCTCGCTTGTTCTCAATCTGTTCCCGTCGTTTTATGCCAGAAAAATTCTGAAATAAGCAAACTGAGCTAAAAAATGTGAAATTATATATTTTGTTAATTTTAACAAAGAATGAGGAAGGAAAATAATTAGAAATTATGCAAAAAATGATCAAATTTTGCTAAATTATGCGGGGTGCATAAAACCACAGGGGCAGCTCAATCTAAATGCAAGACAAAAAAGTAATTTTTACACAAGGATCATCAAAGTCTAGCAGTGTTTTTTTTTGTCTTAGTAAGGTTTTTACGGAGCCCGCAATTGCATAAGGTCACATGAGCGCCAAGAGGTGGATGTCAACAGAGAAGTCCAAACGGGGAATCAGGCTTACTTTGCTCACATCTGTAGCCTCAACAGTGCAAAGTCTGCTTCGACTATAAAGGCACCCCGGAAATAGCAGTTCAAAAAAGAGTGACAAACATACAAAAGAAGTAGAGGAAAAATGACAATAGTAAGGATGAGGAAAGAAAAAGCAGCAGTCCACCCTATGTTGTACCGGCACAGTATGAGCATAAATCAGCCCATTTACAATTCTACTGTGCATGCATATTATCATGAACAGCAGAGTGATCAAGAGATCTACAAGCAAAAACAGTAACGCAATAACAATCATTGTGGGAAGGGGAAAAAGTGATATAATGATAAACAATAATACTTTGAAAAAAAAAAAAGAAACGTGCAATGAATAAAAACCAAATTATATTGAAAACTGCACAGCTGTTTCAACTAAAAAGGCTTCTTCTGTATGTCAAAATGTCAAGGAAAAAAAGGATAGAATTTACTGCATAAATACACAAATGCAGTCCACCACCACCTTGTAAGTGCTTGACAACTTAATTAACAAGAGATTCACATGTAATGGAGATAACTCAATAAACAATAAACCCAATAGATATGTACAGAGTTATGTCCCCTTTTCAAACTATTAAAAAATTATCCTTAACACTGACAGCTGGAAACTGAAACCAATTTTCTCTAAACATTGCTCAACTGACTGATCTCAAGTAGATGATGAGATGGCAGTAGATTGTAGTATCATGATCATAACAGACAAAAGCATAAAATCAAATTTCATTTCCACAACTTAGTACAAGACACTATAACTATAACAATTAACAAAAGGTCTTATTGACACTGGGACATTCGCAACACAAATAATCACAACAGCCAGTTTCATCACAAAATTACGAACAAATATTGTCTTTAACTCTAACACTTTCTTTTAAATCAGACACATAATATAATATAGTTCTTGCTTCAAATAGTACTTTCCTCCTTTTTTAAATCTGATATAAGTGGTTTGCGATGCAGGTTTTACATTTCAGCTTAAACTGACTTTATATCCTTCACATTCAAGCCCTGTTGATGAAGGCAAATGCCATAGAAGACACAGTGGTAAGATACTTTGACAGCTTAATATTTCAGGAAAGATAAGAACATTTTTACCACCATCATCATGAGACAAGCTTCGAACTACCACAAAACGGTACTTTGTTACAGACAAGAGTTGTTTGTAAGAGAAGCAAATAGATCAACACAGGCATTCACAGTATAACAACTGACTTTATTTATTTTTTTTATTATACACACAAGATGCAAAATTATTCAAATTTGGGACCCTGGAAATCGGGGGAACCAAGTAGTGAAGCGTTTTGTGGATAGCAAAGGCATGTTAAAATCCTTAACTGATTTCCATTACAAATATTTCTGTTGTTAGTAGTCGTTAGTAGATCCCGCAACAGCTGGGCTCTCGCCCTTCTGTCCAATGCCATGTAGTCATAAGCACAGGTTTTTTGCAGTTGCTGTAATGTTCCATAGAGAGTGTCGTCGATGTTAGGTCTCGGGAGGGAGAAGGATAGCTCTGGTGTCATTTAGGGCTGTGCAGTGGAACAGGTGATGATCCACAGTCTCGCGTAGTTGTAGTCATACAAGGGACACATTGGGGGAAGTTCTGGATTTTTTCTGTTCAAGTGGAAGTTGAGCTGTATATGTTCTGCTTGTAGGCGGAAGATCGTGGTCTGTTGCTTTCTCCGTCAGGTGGTTGATATTGCCATTCCGTTTTGTTGTGGTCATATGTTTGAAAACTGCACTGCCTGTCTTTCCCAGGGCCCATCTGTTCATCCAAGCCCATCTGATCATCCAATCTTGTTTGTTGTTGTTTTAAATGATTTGTTTTGCAGTGTTGTATGAAGTTGGAATGTTGGATTGTTCCTGCCAAGATCCCCGTTTGGCAAGTGTGTCTGCTCTGCCATTTCCAGGTATATTTGAGTGTCCGAGGACAATATTTTGCCCCCTTCATTGTGCCAAATTTAACCAAAAAAAACGTGTCAGTGTCTTCAAATGAAAAGAACAAGGAAAGACACGAGTACGTACCCGACCCATGTTAGTTTTAAAAAGAATAAAATTCAAGGTGTATAAATGTTTTACACCGCCATCCAAACAATTTTACACTAGAGGCGGGTTGCTCTGACTAAACTCTCTAAACTGAAAACACACATATCTAAACCATAGAAAACTTGGTGGACTCGCAGATTTCAGTAAGCAGATTCCACAATATTCTATATGAATATGAAATTTATGAATGTTGGCCTTGGCTTTCGTTTACAGTGAACATCATTGTGGCTCTGCAGAGCACAAAACAAAAAGGTAAAACATGACCCAACAATGCAGCAGGTCAAAGCACTTTACAAAACCAGGAAGCTTCACTTAAAGACAGCTTCAGAAGAAAATCTGGATTGACTTCTGGAAAAAAAATGCTCGAGTCTTTGTAATGTAATTATAACCAGCCTTTAATTGAACACATTTTTTAAATTACTGGCCCTTCACTATTTTTATTTTTTACATATATATAATTGACAATGAAAAACAATCCTGAGATTTTCAGATCCCGTGGGAACGTGCACTCCTACTACTAAAAATTTACAGATCACATTGACTTACTAATAATCTTTCATATCAACACTTTAATATTATCAATGTAGTGAAAGTCCCTGCAATATATGACAAAATACGGACAATGTAAAAAATCCAGATTTTTTGCACGCAAACCCCATGAGTAGATTAAAAACTTTTCATCAGTCTTGTATAATTGGCAGGAAGGGGAAAGAACAACTGTGATAGTAATATATCAAAACTACAGTCATAATGGCACCAAAACCAGACAGCATTGTACATTCACCGACAACACCAGAAGCCTAATGAATTTATGGACTTCTCAGGTCCTATCCATTTATTAATGGCAATCAGGGGAAACTTGTATTGAATGATTCATTTTATTTTCTACATGCATGATAAATCAAGCTTGCTGTGGACTTGGATTTGAGGGACAAATCTGGTACAACAACAAGCACACTCTAACATATAGGTCTTTATATATATTGATCCTACAGTCAGCCAGTTCTCCACTCACACCTCTGAGAGCAGAGGCATTGAATTGGGCATTTTCATTGTACACCTAGAATGAGAAATCAAATGTCAAAAGACTCATTGAGGGGCACAATACATTTTGAAAAGTAGCGTCAGTCTAACATGAGCAGGTGATTTGAATTGATGCAAGGCTTCTAAAATTCAAATTTAATAGCTGTAGACAACTTACAACAAGAAATAAAAAATCAAACACAGGCCTAGATTATGGGAAATTCTTCAGCTTGGGTACTTAGTCTGCAAGGGACAGAGCTTTCAAAGCCAACATGATCCATGATTCATTCAAAGCCATGGAAAAGTAGAAATGGAAAACCAATTTAAATAATGACTGGCATCAATATTCTTGTCAGGGGTCACCTTTTCAGGCTGACTTATTTTATGAGGTTTCTTCACCCTTTGGTTTTCGAAGTAACACTTTGCCACCTCATTTTGGGGAAAATCCAAAGAAACTGGATGGTAAACATTTTAATTGGAGAGACGAGGTGGCAAAGTGTTAAGAAGGGGTATTTAAACCCTTGTTTTAGAAACTTTTAAAAGGGTTGTTATTATACTGTTCATGTCTGACAAACTAATCCTCAAAAGTCAAAATTGTAATATAATAATATCTATATATACATAAATTATAATCCTAATTTTAGAGTAGGCTTAATTTAAGAATTTTTGCAAACATTAAACTCACGCACATTAACAGACACACACAGAGTGACCATGACTATGACTGAAGGCTAACGATTTTTACTCAACTATAAACTAAGGTTTCATCAAAGGTAAATACATTTTTGGCAAATAAAAATTTGCGAGAGTTCGGCGTCATCTTTCACTCTGTGAGGACTGGGAAGAAACATTTTTTGCATCGAATTCAATTTCTAGAGCTAGAGACTTTTAGATGTCTGAATATTCAGATTAAACTTCAATTGTGGTTAAGGCAACATTCCCGGACTAGATCTAGATCTATACTTTTCAAAGCCTTCAAAAAGGTACTTACTGCAGGAAAACAATGGCTGTTTGACTTTGGCAGTAATCTATTTCGCATTTAATCCCCATTAGCCATTAGATCTATTTTTAAGCAAACTACAACAACAAAAAATCCCTCCACACCCCCTCGCCCTCCCCACCTCTCCCCCCCGTTCACACCTTCTAGTCCGAGAAATAGAGTTCAAGACATTCAAGTTTATTTTCCCAAGAGTTCGGAGAATTCTAGAGCCGGCCAATTTTTATTGTTTTGGCCATGGCATTCTTCAATCTTTAACCTGAAACCAACCAAAACTCACCCTTGGTTTGGCATTCTGAACGGCCTTTCAGGAAATTGACGTCATGTGTATAGATCTAGAACTAGATCTCCTCTAGCTAGCTTCTCTTATCTAAAGGCCTTTAGGGCTAACAATACAGGAGGACAGAGCAGCATTTTACTGAGACTAATGAAACTAGATCTAGATATCTACATCTAGATTTAGATCTAATCTAGACTAGATTCTAGAGATATCTAGAATCTAGATCTAGATTTAGATCTAGATAGACTAGATTCTAGATCTAGATCTAGAATCTAAATCAACAACGAAAACAGCGACAGCTGAAAATGGCCAAATCGATGCCCCAATCTCAATCACCCGATCCCTTGTGTCGCACCGTCTCGTTTTTCATTTTCAATCACTTCGGAGAGAAAGCACATTCAAACACAAAGTACTTTCACTCGATGACACAAAGATTTGAACTAGCCTAAAAAATGTGTGTGTATTTACCAGACACAAAATTGTTTACGGTAAACCGAGGCCAGTGGAAGACAACGGCCGCTCCCCTCTTTGTTGAAGGGAGACAGGGAAAGAGGTCGGCGCCATACAAGTCATGGCGGTCGGAAATTAAAAATACCAAATATTGACGAGCACACACTCAGTCAACGAATAATTTTAGTGTTCGTCGGCATGTAAATTAGTCTACTTACCGACTATTGGTATGTAGACAAGCTAAGCACACTTGCAGTAAAAAAGCCAGGACAATTCATAATTTAATGAGAGAAGAACGACAACACAGTTATATTTCCTTGTAGAAGAACGTCCAGCTCAGAGTTGTAGCCCTTCTTCGGTCAGCTTTGCCGAAGCAAGTGACGTCACTTCCATGTGACTGACTCTGACATTATACTAGCCTAGTTCTTGATCTAGATCTAGGTCATAATATTATACCAGGTCTCTATGTCATTACGTTATAATTGGTTTGTTTATTCTCCTAGCCACATTCGCACACCCACCTGCCTTCTGTAACAGGCCTGTTTGTTTTTGTGCTTAAAAGCTTTGATATGAGAAAGCCATAAAGTTAAGGAGCGTGGTACAGTGGCCCTCGCCAAAGAACCCGGACTGCCTAAGAACCCGCATTTTCCGTATCACATATTTTTTTTTCTTCTCTGTCTATGATGTGAATTCAGGCAATAAACTTTACCGAGACACTACATGTATATCGTACTTTGCTCGGGTTGGGGTGAAGGGAGGGGGTTAATTGTTACTGGGTTGGACTAGCGAACGATGACTTCTAGCACAGAACATTTACTTAGACAGGTGAGCTCTGCCGAGCGGCCAACCACTAAAAAGAGGCAGAGGTGTTCGACAGGTACTCTCACTTGCTCCTCTCGTATGATAAAAGTGTCCGATTGTCTGATAAAATCTGTCCAATTCACAGTCATTGTTTCTGTTGACTAACACCTCGTTGCGACTGATGTTGTTTCATAATATTTTCGATACGCTATATCAAATCATAGATCTAGTGACAATTATGTTGGGTAAAGAAAACTTACTCCTATGCCCCTGATTCTGCACAGCCTCCCCCTTTTCTCCCCCCGCTTTCTCCTCCCTCTCTCTCGTTCTGTCCTCTCTATCTCTCTTTCCGTCTATTACAACTGTCACGCGCGCGCGCGCGCACACACACACACACACACACACACACACACACACACACACACACATACACACACACTCACACACAC